ATAATTGCCATTAAACCTTCTTGTGTATCTTGTGTTAATGTTTACGTTATTCTATTTAAAATTGTATGACAGCTTTTAACGTGGAGAACTCTAAAATGATATTGTATCTAAGTACAATGTAATATTCTGCAGAAATAACAAGTGTCCTAAAAAGAAGCAGTTATTTTAGTATATGGAATAGATAATAATATTTTCCTTGTCAAACAATACAAACACGCTTACAGGAACATTTTACTAAAGCCACAGCTAAAATAATATGTCTTTAGAATTGTCCGTGACTGCTTTTGTAATAGTTTTGCCTTGTTACGCAAATAGTAGAAAACCGTGTAGGAAATAAAAAAGTTGGACCTTATGCAGACTCGGAGAGCGGGAACAAATAGGCGTACGAGAGACGAAGAGGCTTTTTCACCACTCGATGTCCCATGAGACTCCTCCCTTATGTTCCGGTTTTCCTCTCTGTGGTCCGTCCAACACTTTGGACCAGCTGCCCTCCACATTAACTCTGCTCTTACCATTTTCACTCTCATACAGTTTTCCCTTGCCCTCTACGCTTGCTTTAAGTCCAACTCCACTCTCCTCGTAAACCTTGGTTCGGACACTTCCTCTTGGAGTTTCCTTCCTGTCGTCTGGCTGTGGGGAACGGCGGGATCTCTCCAGAGCATTCTGTGAGACAAAAGATTCGTATCAAGTAACGTGCCCGATATGATTAAAACACTTTTACGTCTGCTAAATGAAGAAGGAATACAGAGACACAATTTAAATAATATTATTTTTATAATTACACACATATGTTTTTCCAAGTTCTCAGTTCCTTGTATCGATGTTATTCGGCCATGCTAGCCTTGGTTTCCTTAACATCGTGTTTTACGTTATCTTTGGTCACAGACTTGAGGTTCCCACAGACGTGAAGACATTGGTCTCCTGGAAAATGGTCATCTTCTGAGAAATTGCGCCGTATGTTCTTGTGAAAAATCGCCCTGATGATGGAGGCAGCAAGGACCTCTGAAACGTCGGTAAACTTCTACCAGACTACACGGCGCTACAACCCAGAAGACAGCCATCTTCGTACTCACCTCCTTAAGCATCTCAAACATAACATGATCTTCTGGTTTGTGATGACGTGTGGTCTCGTTTGTTTCCTTCCGAAACGCTGATGCCGACGCCTCAAGAATATCATGATCGAAATTGCCTTCAGTTTACCTCTCCCCCCCACTCAAAGCATTAAATTTGTTATCTTATCAAGTCATCCACTCTCTCACGTCCCCTGCAACTGTACAGACCATAGTATAAGCCTCTTACGTACGATAGTTTCAATAAGAGATCCTAGCACTTTAAACTCCTACTTATTTCAACGTTTATCACTCTCAAAGTCTTGGAATCTTATAAGATCTTCTCCAGTGCACACTTCTAACAATAAAACGGTTTATTGACGTTTTACCATTCTGAAACAGGAATCATTTCAAGTGATAACACTGTAACTTACTTCAGATAACTGAGCTTCGTCTTCTCTTTCACTGAACGGTAGCGCCACACATGTGGCAACGACAATACCAAAAGCCGCCAGCAATACGATGGACACCTTCATGTCGACAGCTAGATGAAAAGAGATAACTCTTATAATTTCGCTTGTAATTAGTACAATATACAAATAATTAACCACCTATCGAAAACAAATGTCTGATAGCCTCGTTAGACACAATCAGAATCACGACGGATTGTCCCATCATCCAAACCTGTTCCTAAAAATGTGCCTTAATTATTCCCCCCCCCCAATATTCTTCTCAATATTCTGTCTGCTTTTCTCGAGACTTTTTCATTGGTTAAAATTCTGTACGTATTTTCTGTCTCACTCATGCTGACCACTACATGCCAAAGCCATGATAACCTCCTTTATTTTACTGCCACAATAAAGCATGGTAATGACCTTAATAAAGAAGAATTTCGTTATGCAGTAGGAATACTAAATTACATGTATCCTTTTGAGGTCAAAATACAAACTAAGAACTTTATTATAAACGAATTTAATTTATGTATCGCCTTACACGTTTCACAGTCACACAAAACAATTGACAGAATTACTCGAAAGAAAAAAAAACTGTATGAAAACCGAATACCAAAAAGCAAGTACCCAATTTAATATCCTTATTTTATTTATGAACTTTATTTGTGTTTATTTTTCTTTTAGACACAAATATCTCACGTTCAGTTACAAAACAACTTTCCAGTGCGCAGGAATGTATACTCACGTTTTCTTCTTAACCTATTCAAGCAGAGACTAGGCTGGCACAGAGATTTCGTGTAAGTCAAGTTGTGCCTTATATAGTCGGTTGAACTGCGGAAAATAGCGCGGATAAACCCCGGGAAGTTACCTTCATCCAGTATACATATAGGGTAATCAGCTGTTAAGTTCTTCATTGTAAACAGAAGAAGACGGAGTTACAATAGAAAAAGTAGTTCTTCCCCGTTTGTGTTGCTTCTCGGAACGTGAGGTCTCAGCTCGTTCTCAGAACCAATCTGCAGGTAGCATTGAAGGACGACAGCTCAACAGATCTGCACAACTCCTAGCCTTACTGTTGCATTCAGTGTTACGGCACAGTGTAATCTGAGGAACGGTGATGGTAAAATGACTAATTGTACATTTGAAACATTTTTTCAGATCCGCTGCCCACATATAAGCTGTAAATTTCGATGAAACATTCGGTGCTAACCAGTAACTCTCCAATTTAAATTTCTCTCCATGGATAAGTGTCATTTTGTGAAGACTTGGAGGCAATGTAGCGTGCATTCTGTCACACAGTACTAGATTCACAGAAGTGGTTGCCTCAAGTTTCGGCCGCCTTATCCCAGGGGCAAGAAACTGTCTTCTAGAATGTGGCTATGCGTAGTTTCGTAAAAACTGATAGACGTCACAGAGGTGTTTCTGTCTTTGTTATAAGGGCGATAAGTGGAGGCTGTAAGCACCTCTGAAACGTCGGCCAGTTTCTACGAGACTATAAAGCGCAACTTCTAAAGACGACCATCTTTAGAAAACTTCTCGTTCGGGAAATCTTACATTCTTCTAAGAAGTAACTTTACTGTGGTAAAAATAGTGACTTCTGAACGCATGAAGAAATTCTCGTAGCACTCAATACACGGGTCACGTCGACACAACATTCTTTTGTCTGCGGTATGACATTAATTCTTTCCTTAGAAGTAAGACATTTGTAACAATACGAATGTTTAATGTAGGATGACGTAGTATGAATGAGCACCTGTTCTTGTGGAAAATAAGCATATCAGTATGTCAATAATTTTTACAATGACTAATCTGTCATTTCCTTTAACCTGGGTACAGAGATGGAGGCGTTTTATCCTTCATTAATTTTTAAGAGAATTCTTCGTTATGAATTGTTGTAAAAAAGCGAAAAACATAAAATATAACAGAGACGACATGAATGCCTCAACATTCACGTAACGCTGACAAGCGGATTTTGATAAAACCTTTAATTTCGTGTATAAGTTTACAGTTTTTGGTTAAATGTAACTTGTGTCAGTAACTGTTCAATATAACCTCTACCTCACGCGAAATTCTTACCACAGTCCACACAGTTCTTCTGAAAAATTGGACAATCTTTTTTTAATCTATTCTGAAGATGTTAATGGATCAGGGAAAAATTATTATAAGAAGTCAAAGATTTTTTAGACCCTAGTAAAGAGCTTGGTCTAGTAGTAAATTCATGGAAAATAAAGCAAGTGTTCATTTGTTATAACCAAACTACAGGACAAAATTATTAATTGCTGTGTTTATAAGACCACTCAGCTGGTCCCAACCTTAGCTACATGAATCTAATTCACATCCTCCAACCCTATTTCCTTAGATCCATTTTAACTATATTGTATATATTTATTATGTTATACTATACTATACATAATATAGGCCACGGTCACTTCCTTCCATATATTCGCCATTTAATTAATCATACTATAATTCGAAACTGCATAGCCTGGGTTATTGTTAGTGTCATTAAATAAACAGGAACCATAATACATGAACTTATTAATTAACTCCGTGAAATAGAGACCTGCTTGATAACCTAAAAGTACAAACAGAGTGGTTAAATTATGCTGTTTTTTTGTGGAAGCAGAAGGTTCATTACCGTGTTTACAAGAGACCGCATATAATAAATATCTGTATTAATAAAACCGTATATTATGTCATAAAATCCTATTATTAGTCTTAATTTCCTTTCTGAATGACAGAAGTAGGTTGTCTGCGTGATCGCCATTTTCCTGTGTGTCTGTTCCCACTTTCAACTCTCAACCAGTGCAACGATTTTCACGAAACTTCCAATGAATGTCTGAAAGTTACGTCATTTGATGGTGATATGAGAGTGACAGTAGCGCCACTTGTTTTAGGATCCTGAAACAATGTATCGTACTTGAAATTGGTATTACTTAAAACAGTAATATGGACGTCTTGCAAAATCTCTGTTCAGCTTTTCTTACCCACTGGAGAGTTGAAATGTGAAATCTTTTATGAAATTTTTTAATAAAAGTGTCTACAAATACGTATGAAATATATTTTGGGAAGTAAGGTGTTTGTTAAAACTGTAACAAACCTCACGTTTTAAGCAAGGACGGAGAAGTCCTTGACCATCTGAGAGACTATCAGCTTATCAAGAAGAACGTTGTTGCATGGAACTGGGTACTTTTTTATTTTACATCAGCAGTTTTAATTATTAAATTTACTGTTCAAATCTGAATACTTCTAATAAATGTGGTTATCATAAATATAATTATCGTGTTTATCGTAATTTTTTCAAATCCGACGTTTCGGAACCGTCTCCGTTATCAGGGATGAGTAGAAGTAGTTCGTACTCAGTCGGAATTGAAGACAACAGTGAAAAAAACAACTAAAAAAACTAATTTTTATGTTATGTTTCATTCAAATAAGTTATTTTTACAAATACATACAAGCGACTAAAAAAACGAGGATGTTATGAATAATAAGAATAATGGGAAACATTAAAATAAAACATATTTATTCACAATAAGATCAATAAGTGAACAAGTACACAATGCAATATGGAAATATAAAGACAAAAACACTTTAACAAAATAACAGCGACACAGACCGATGAGATGAAAACAGGTTCACAGAAGCTGTAGCTACAGCTGTCATAAAAAGTGGACTATCGTTAAATAAAGTACATTTTGCAGGAAGATGTTTGAATTTAGAACATAAACCCTCACCAGTGGAGTAACTCTGACTCAGTTCATATCACAGGGACTAGGTTGCCTATCTCCCCACAAAACGAACTGCAATCAGAATGTGCCTTGCACCTTGAAGAAAGCCGAGCCTTCACCATGGCCGTGACGCAATGGCTGCGTATAATCCACACCGACTTTGGCCTCGATCCGCTTGTCCCTACTCTGCCATACCGTTCCACTCCCTTCCGCCTTCACCACCGGGCCCTTGCGGCTGTCTTCGTATATCCCGATCTTAGCGCGATTTCTTCCTTCTTCAGGGACAGGTGAACGTCTGGCTCTACGCAGTAGCTCATGTCCCTGCTGATGGTCTTGTTTCTCCTTCTGAAACAGACGACGATCTGATAACGAGGCCTGTTTCAGGCGTTGAGGTCTTAACTACTACCACTTTCTTTAAAGGTTTTATTATGTAAGATTTCTGGTTTTCACGGCGGTGAGTTTGAAGATGGCTGTCTTCTGGGTTGTTGCACCGTGTAATCTGGTAGAAGTTTACCGACGTGTCAGAGGTCCTTGCTGCTTACCTCAATCATCAGGGCGAATTCGCCTTGATGATTGAGGCGAGCAGCAAGGACCTCTGAAACGTCGAAAAACTTCTACCAGATTACACGGCAGAACAACCCAGAAGACAGCCATCTTCAAGGTTTTATCAGTTCACTACATGACATCAAATCAACAAATATAGCCCATTAATGATTTTTCGACTGTGTCAGAATAGGAGAATAGCCAGGCTTCTGGTATATAATCTGAACTGGAGCATCTATAATCTTGAGACTTGCAAGGAATGCAGTAAGTCCGTAGCGTTAAACTTCTTGGCTTACCTCCTGAAAGTTGGATGGTAGCGCCGAACAAACTCCGACGGCAATAATAACGACCAGTAGAAACCACGCTGACAGTTGCATTGTCGCTGCTGCTTCCTCACTGTCTAGAATATGGAAAGTTCCGGAATACAGTACTTCATACAAACCCTGTTACCGGAATACAAACAGCTGGTTTTAAAGCCTTGCTGCGCTGAAGTTATATTACTTACTTAACAACTCTATTAGCTGCAGCTGGATACTCAGTCTTGTGGTTACCATTTGGGGCCCCTTAAACTTTATTCCTTTAATTATGAAAGCTTCGAGTAATCCTTACATAATTTGGGTAAGGCAAAATGTTATTAAACCACAATTTGGTTCTTAGTTCTTCCACTATCCATGAAATGTACTTATCCCTCCTTCGTATTCTTTTTGAATTTCGGTAACGTTAAAACTGCGAAATAGTTAGTACATTTGAGACAAACTTTTTCGAAGAGTAATAGATAATTAAGTTATGTATTTAAAAAATAATATTGATCTGCTATATATTATACACAGTATTTTTTTGCTTTAATATATACGTATACTTGTTTATTTAATATTTTATTAAACTGAAATTAATTAAATTTAATTACATGTACTTACTTCTCACAGCTGCCTTTAAAAGATGTTGGTGCACACACCATTACTCGTCAGTCGTCAGAATATATAGGACAGCAGAACAGGAAATATTAAAATACGTCTTTAAAACAATTTGCTGTTCTTCCCCGGAAATGTGAAGTACCTTCAGTACAAATCCATGTGGGAAAGTCACGTGTATTCTGCGAATTATTACCTCCTATTCACCGTATACATTTTGTTCCCCTCACGAGCTATGTGTGACGTAATAAACAAAAGACAGAAGCTAAGCGTTCTTGTTACTCAAGTTTCAAGAAGTCCCTTAGTTAACCTTGAATTAACGTCTCGTGGTTTGGAAGATGTAATTCTGTATGCATTTATTTTAATCGATGAAACTACTCACGGTCAATGGTGTCTGATTAAGGCGAAAGGAATTTCATACCTGTGATTAATTATTAATAAATCTAATGTTCGAAATTCTTTTATCTAGCGTTCTCCGTTTATCAGTCTCTGGCCTGGCTTATAGACAAGCAGAATAAGGTATCTGGTGAAATGACAAGGGTTTGGCGAAAACTACATTATTTGTAATTTAACCTTGCGGTTAAAACCTTTTCAACGAATATATGATAAGAGGTAACCAAAATAAGCTTTCAGTTGTACACTAGAAATAAAAGAAGTTGGACGTCCAGGAAAGAGGCAGGAAGTTGAACTTAAAACAAGATGATGCTTCAAAGAGAAGTAGACAATGATGACGGTAAAGAAGTTGATGCTTAAAATATTGGTGTTATATATATGGCTGAAAGCGTGATTGTGTAATACGGGCCAACCCCATGCAGTCTGAGCTACTGACAGCATCATAAAATAAAATATAAATAAATGAATATGAGGAGGCACATAAACCTTTTGAAATGCAATAAGTGCCTGTCATCGCTTTGAGTTACGGCAGGCGATGACAAATTCCCGGACGCCTGACTGAGTGTCACGATCTTTGGAGCCAGCACGTGGTTGGTACATGTGACAGGTACAATTGATTGACCGTCCGCTCCAAGACAGTAAGAAAATCACTTTCCTACGGAGCGCCTTCCAGGCATAAAATACAATAACGGATATCTGTAACTTAATTTTGTTTTATAATGCGTGTTATCGGCACATCTACATGGCATGGTAGTTCGTTAAATCGCAAGGTACAACTTTGCCCTTTAAACTTTATTGTTTAGACGCAGGAATACGTCGCAGAGGATTGGACGGATGCTGAAACGGTTGTAAGGATGTCATCCTTTTCTGTTCAGCCACTAGTTTGTTCTCGATGAAGAATCTCTCAGCAAGTGGAAGGTCGACATTGCGGTCTCTGATCGATTGATCGCCGTTTACAGTTTTCACTTTCATCGGAATAAAAATTCCGATTCATTTTGTTTGTGACATACTTGAAATTGATACGTCTCGTATATACGAGGAGCTTAATGTTGGAATAGAACCTTCGGAAAGGATAAAACATAAACGTTTCAGAATAAATTGGACAGGCAGTGTTTATAAATTCACATTTGGACGACGTTAACAGTCATATTGAATCCGCTACAGGCCATGTTTCAACTTGTATTAATACGTACGTGTTTCTTGCTCAGAATGTATAAAACTAAAACATACATGAGGCGGTTTTCTGTGGGATCTGAGGTTCTTACGGCGGCGAGTATGAAGATGGTTGTCTTTTGGGTTGTTTACTGACGTTTCAGAGGTCCTTGCTGCCTTCATCATTAGGGTGATGAGTAAGCATTTATTTATGCGAGAATTGAGTTAGATAATTTAAGTAATTTTATTGAAACAATAATTAGTGTTAATGTGATTCAGGACATATATAATATTAATTTAAGTTTCAAATATCACAAAGTATGACAGGTGACAATGTAGCAACTAAAAGGAGAACAGATGATCGCGTAAACAAAATTGATATTTTGTACAGAGTACACATGTGCAATGTTAATAATAGTACGATGTTTAATATTTAATATTAAGTTTTAATTTCAAAACCACAGAAATAATTATTAGATTTGTTAATTCACCAAACGTTACAACTCATAAATGTATACGGTATACAAATTAATTAAATTTACTACATTTGCTTCCTCGCTGCCATTAATTAGACTCAGTTGTGTTGTTGCCAATATGCCTCGTGTTGATCAGGGTAGACGTCTGTGCTGTTGCGAGGGATGTGTGGGTACGCGCCAGATGGAAAATACCCAAACAGTGAATTGACAATTGTAAGAATACAGCTAATTATACCGTCTATTAGACCAAATTTGCCCGGTTCTTCGATTTCATTGTCATTTAAGTCTTCAGCCCCATATTCCCAAGACTGAAACAGAGACATCAGTATGTACAGCGTGACAGGAAGAATTAATGATATTTAAATGAAATACCTAAATTGAGTTCTTATATACTTCAATCTAAATATATTTAAACAACAATAAGAATTAAAAAATTAAGTTAGTTATTAATTTAAGAGAGGAATAAATCCAGGAAATGCTTATCATCATCATAATCTTGCCTATTAATTTGCATTGATTTTCTGATTCTCCTACATAAATAAATAATATTATTTTTTATTTTATGTAGCTGTAAAATATAATATTTTGCTTTGCATGTTTAAAACAAAGATCTCATTTAAAACGTTTGGAAATAGAATAACAAACAAACGAAGGATATAGGACATCACACAGTGAGCTACTTTGTTATTATTTTTAGATCACTAACAGCTTATTATTAAGTTGCAAAATCGAAGACATTACGATGACAATTGAATAAAAAATTACTTGGATATTATCCATCGTCTAGTAAATATAAAACGTAAAACGACGTTTCCAAGTAAATTTTTATTCAATTGACTCTTCACCATCGTCAAGAAGTTTTAGATTTGATATACATTACGATGAGCTAAGTATTTAATTCGGTTGTTCATGACAAGAAATGCATACAGAAATTTGATTGGAATACGTAATGGAAAATTATATAAAAGATACTTAACGGAGTATTATATTAGCAATATTGAATTTGGGGTACTAGTTGTAATCTGTATTAATGTTGGCAACACTTACTCGTTTCTTAGCCTGTGCAGCTTGAGGGTATTTATCCCCTGATCTGTGATAATTGTATGACAGTGTTGTCACTTGGTAGATCAGAGAGGAAAAGACAAACGTAAGAAGTAAGATGAAACACTTCATATTTGATTAGCTGAAACAAATAGACGATATTGAAGTAATATCTGATATCTCCTTTAGTTTATTTTCAGTCCTTAACTGTGTTTGCACCAAATTTAATAACTTTCTCACGGAGGAGGGCCCTTTCAGAGAAACTAATAATTGGCCAACTGGTCCACAAGAACCAGTCCAAGACCCCGTGTAACATTGCAGCAGTTATCCATATCTGAAGGCAGTCTCCTCTATCATAGTCCTGAGAACGTACCATGCACTGGTGTCAAGGGGCAGACTTAATATAATTAAATAAAATCATTTAATTTTTTATTTGTATTGTGTAGAATCAAGAGTAATTCTACATATTTTAAGAACACATATTTCAGCATATGTGCAGTGCAAAATTATATTACTATGATGACGGAAATAAAATCACTTCAAACTTAATGTACAATAACCTCCATTATTTAATATGTTACTTTCCCTTCAAAAATGTTTTGTCAGGCTTTTTGTTCCCATAGACGTCTTCTACCCAATTTCTCTCATAACTGGGAACTATACAGAGTGCTTGTTTATCTATACTTAGCAGACCACAGGGCATTATGAGCGCACGCAACACCTGAAACTATAGAAGGATGAACGTGTCTTACCTTTATCACATATAGTCAGTTCCGTACTGCAGGTGGAATATTTGGGACTATTGATCAATCATACGTGCCTTATATATACTGCAGTTTCTGTCAAGATTTGACATTCTTACCGACATTCCGCAGGATGATAAAAATATTCTCGAATGTCGCAATACTGAACTATTGTGATGTGTTAATGGACCAATTATCACGAAGCAGTAATACTGTGAGACAGACAACCTCTCTAGATAAGTGTTTAATGTTATCCGTGCAGTGAATGTTAATCATTATGATTTATGTTTGTTACGAAGTAAGTTCTGTTGTTTCGTAATTTATTAAACTCTCTTATACAAGGGAAAAAACGTAACTTCCTGCGCCATGAACTGTAAATAAAATGAGTAAGCCTATACAGATGGACAGAATCGGTTCAGTGATCATAAAGGAATTAGCCGGACCAACACGGCTAATACGAAAGCTCTGTCCCTACAGATCAGACTGTTTTAAAGAATGAATTAGATGTGGAATGTTAATTGGACGGTTTATTCTATAAAATGTTTACTTTCTCATGAAAATACCATTTTTTGAGTAGTTGGTTTTCTTCCTGCTACCATTGGAGCAAACAGTTTCTTCTAATAAAACCCATTTGACATTTGTCAAAAATGATTTAATGCTTCTGTTATGTTTAGCCATTCATATGAACATCCAGAAGTTAAAGTTTAATTAGTTATGACTGCCAAACAGTTGAGGGTAATATTCATGAGTTTGTGTCCCTTGCTATGAAGCCATTACTCAAGTTCCTGGAGCAGTCTGCACATGTTCCCATGCAACTAAGAGTTGTTGCGAGATTAATGGAAACGAACAGACCGGTCCACACTAATCTCAGGAATGAATTTCAGCGCGACTTGGGAGCAATCATCTCATAAATGTTTAAAGTCACATTAGGGATGGGGGGTGTTAAGTAAGAACATTGGGACGCATGTCGCAGTACTTAATAACACAGCTTTGATTTATCTGAATGTGAGACACTGATCAACTCGATGGCATTGCTTAACCAGCTCCATGGACGAGGGTCCTTCTTGAGAAGCCAGTAATCACACGCCTTTTATGGAACCAGAAATTTCATTATTGTGTTTAAGATGTGCTCACATCTTATTAAAGATGCACTTTAATATTATTTTCCCATTTCGACTAGGTTTCCCAAGTCATGTTTACGGTCTAAAATATTGGTTTTCTCATTTTTTTCAATATGTGCTCCATGATTTACAAAATTTAATATTTTAGAAAAAGCCATCCTTACAATATTATATCATGTGGGAAGAGAACAAATTGTGAAAAATACTTTTACTTGAATTATATTTTTATTAAAACGCAGGAAATTTTTATAAAACAAGACGTCGAAACTAACAGAATATGTATTTTACGTCATTTCTTTACGTTACGCTCATACAACACGACCCTATTTTTTTGGTGTTGCACAGCGTGCATTTGAGCATGTCACTGAATATGTTGTGGTTAGAACAAGGGAGCAATATGGCGTACCAGTCGCTTGCAGCAAGGTAGAGCGAGGATTTTGCTGTCAGATACTGTGTGCGCGATCGCTGTATTAGCTTCATGTGCATTAGTATGTACTGTCCATTTTGGTAGTAACTTCAATTCTCATTGTTAATGTCATCGCTAACAACTGACTGGAAACTAAAAAAATGACTACAAATCTGTATTTCACTAATGATGTTTCTATTCCAGGTCATCTGTGATGTAAAATGTATACAGGCCTACGTGTTAATCTGTCCGTACAAAATAGTAATTAACATTGTATTTATATTTATGAATTACACTCACAGGCAGCAGTAAACCGCATTATAGAGTGGATTTGATGAAAAGTGGTGGGTGAGAGTTATATTTAGTTTACTGATCAGTTGTTATATAATATTGTAATCGGTGGTTTCTCGTAGTAGGCCTAAACATAGTGTTATTAAACGCGTAAGCTGCTGGGGAATTTTTGTAGTTGATGTACTGAATTTGCACAGCAGATATCTTTTATGTTCTTTTACGCTTTGTGAGGAAATCCGCGTCCAATTTTGAAAGTTGTCCATTTTTGTGGCAGACATTGCAGTTATCATCTTCAAGGTAAATCTGTTTTGGAAATTTACGAAGACATTATTCTGTCACTTGTTCTCCTAATTCCACGTGGTTGTTAACTCAACCGTCTCTCGTTGTCGATTGGATAATAGTACAAGGTCCTTTGTCTCTCCAATAACGTTCTTCAGATCCCGCACGTGCCCTAGTGTCTGACCTAACCAAGGCTTCCAAACAACGTAAAGTACTCAAAATAAATTGGCATTTGTGAAGTAGTGCCTGAGTAATTATCCGCTGGCCTCTTTTAAATCCTAAAATACTTGGCGGACTTCGGTGGAATTTGGCGTTAGGGGTCTGTACTAGAAGTTAACTAAATAATATATTCGTTTTATTTAAGAAGTAAACTTATTTAATGAGCTATATTTTGTTTCTTTTACAGGTAAGCAGAATATTAACTATATGAAGCATGCTGGAGACCCAGTGATTGGTGAGTACATGAGTGCGTTTATATTCATTATACAGAATAATGTATTTCTTCCAGGTGAAAAACCAGGTTTATGTTATTGTCAGTAACGCGATTCTGGTACTTTATGTGTGGATTTGAAACAGGCTTGGTAATAGGAGCAGTATTTTTGTAACGCTGTTCCGACAGCAGCGAGCCATATGTTTTTTTAAGGAGCTGTATAACTCGTGTCTGTTATAATCATTTTACATGGATATGTATGGAATTATTTTGTTAAGTATGGAATAAGTTAATACCAAAATAGGCCTAAGTGCTTATCGTTAAAAGTGTACGTGTACTAGTTTGAGCCACAGAATTTGAGATCTCATATTTACTCGGCAGTAGAATTATCTAATTGTTTTGGTATTCTTACGAACTTAATTCAGAATATGTGGGGGTGTGTTTTCCTGTATGTAGCTCAAGTACCGTTACTCGTTATAAATTACAGAGTAATTAACAAAATATGTTAGGAATAAATAATTGTTAGCTACTGAAAATTACTCATCTCAATAAAAGATATGATGTACTTTATTACACAGTGTGATATTGGTTTATACATGTAATAAATTTTGAAACAATTCTACCTTATTAGTACAAATGGCAGAGTGCAAGAACGAAAATTACTTTTTCTGCAGGCCTGTAGAGTACAAATTTCTATTCTTACTCGGTTGAAGTTTGTGTATTGAAAAAAAAAAAAAAACAGAAACAAACAAACAAACCAAAGAACCCTTGAATATAATGGAGCTCGAAGTACAAACATGAGACTTACATTGCCATCTATACATAAACTTTGTATTTTTTCCCAGCCCCTGCTGCAATCCAATTAATATCTAGGAGGAACATCGTCTTATTCACATGTTTAAAATCAGTGGGACTTTCATAATTTAGTAATTTTATTAATAACCACTGCCAATGTATATTATTATAGAATTGAATTATTCTTTTTTATTTCGATGTAATTCATATAAAAACATTTACTCTGCTATCAACAATGGAGGAAAGATCCGTTTGTAGCTGGAAGGAGAAACACTTGAAAGTATTATGGAAAATTAGAAAACAAGGAAGGAATTATAATAAATCCGTGTGGATTTTGTATTAATTCTGTCATTTTGTTGCCATCTACGTGATATTGGGCGCCATTATAACATTCGCGCATTTGCCATCTGGCGGGCAGGAGGTGAACCATATATACTTAGCAGTCTCGTGAGTATTGGCACAACCAGATGGAGTCAGGAGCTTAGTTCGCAGAATTCTAATCTTTGTCGAGTGGACCCTATCAGACGAATTGTGATAAAGTTTTGTGGGAATCGAAATAAAGTTAGAGTACAAAGTATACGAGTTTTTTGTCTGATATTATTTGATTTTTTTGGTTTTATAATCATGTGATTTACGTTGTCGTATCCGCAGTCCTAAAATATGTGTCGGTTTCCCTATCGAGTGATGAAACTGTATTTAATCGTTTCCGGGAGGTCCATTCTTAAAATCCCGGGCAGAATATATCCTTTGATTCACATTTATTTTATGTTATTTCCGACTTTTGGACAAATAGCGGAGGGATATATGTTACTAACCGACAGCAAACAGAGGAAGGTCTCTCAAATATGCAGAAGGAATGCTAATGACAACAGATACGAATGAGGACCGACAAATTTTATATCCGTTGTAAACATTTAGAAGAAAAAGAGTCTAGGCTCCTCCTGTTGCTTAAGGTATGAAAATGACATTCTCGTAACTTCAACGAATTTGAGGACAGAAACGATATTAACACGGCCATAATCTGAGAGCTCTCAAGTTTTCTCGCGTCAGTAGAAGTTTGTCCACCCAATGCAAAAGAAACACATTCAGATACCGATCAGACCATTTCGATTCTTTGTATTTAATTTTGAATCTATAGCTAACCAAATTAAGACACGTTTTTGTAACATTCAGAAGTCTGGTTTGTGTAACGTTTTGACATAAATACAAAGTAACTCCTGCCCTGTGACATACTTAATCTGGTACTAAAGCCGTAGAATATCCCGAGCAGTTGCTTACAAATACAATTACACGCTTTGGGTTTGATGTATGTTTACGTTGGTTTACTACAGTAACAGTTCTCCAACTGACATTACTGCCAAGGTTATAAAAGGTCTCTGTAATCATGACCGCTGGATAAATGTACCTGGGAGACAGCTGTATTCTCGTTAATTGAATTATAGTTACGTTGATTCTTATGGTAAGATTCTGTCGGGCAGAGACTGGAAAAAATACTGGATAATTTACATTCAACTCTAAAAGTTTAATAGAAACATTATATGTAGCCTTCCGATAAGGATAACATGATAATATAGTCAGCTTTACATAAATAACACAATTCTATAAATGCATAGTAACTTCTGGTTACAGATCGTCGGTAATACATCTCGTCCTTACCATAGGAATGTGTCGGTAATGCAGTTTATTTTCGTAATAGGAGATCTGAAGTTGTCACAGCGGTGAAGATGTTTGTTTAACGGCATTTTCA